AAAACTTCCCAAACAGAGGGGAAGAATTTGACATACAGATAAGTAAGGGATGTAGGACTCCAACTAGCCATGATCAAAAAAAATCTACCTACCTAGACATATAATAATCAAGATCCCAGAAACCAATAGAAAAACAAAATACTACATGCAGTTAGAGAAAAGAAACACATCGCATGCAAAGGAAAGTCTATCAGAATCACAGCACACTTTTCAACACAAACGCTCAGGTCAAGGAGAGCTTGAAGTGAGGTATTTCAAGCCCTAAGAGAAAACAACCTTCAATCTAGGCTGATGCATCCTGCAAAACTCTCTTTCAAAATGGATGGGGAAATAAGATAGTTTCATGACAAAGAACACCCGAGAAACTTCATGAATACCAAACCAGCACTACAAGGAATTCTAAACAATATCCTAGAAAAAGACAATGAAAGTTACAACACCATTTGGCCCAACAGAACAAATCAATTAGGCAAGGCAAGAAACTAAAGGGAGAGGGTGAAAAATTTAAAAGAGCAAACAACAGGGCAATAACGTGATAATGATAAGTCACTACATATCAGTTATAACCATCAATGTCAATGGCCTCAATTCATCAGTCAAAAGAAACAGAACTAGCAGAATGGATTAAGAAGCAAAATCCAACAATATGTTGTATACAAGAAACACACCTAGTTCAAAAAGAAACCCGTAGACTGAAAGTAATAGGATGGAAAACAGTTCTCCATGACACAGGAGCCCAGAAAAAAGCAGGGTAGCTATCTTATTTGCAGACAAAGTAAATTTCAAACCAAAACTGATTAAGAGAGACAAAGAAGACCACTACATCCTTGTAAAAAGAACAATTCAAGAGGAAGAGATGGCAATCATAAATATATGTGTGACAAATATTAATGCCCCCAACTATATAAAACAAATATTAAGAGACATGAAATACCAAATAATACAATTGTATTATTGTAATACAATACAATATGTATCTTAGGCTCCTAGAAAAAGAAGAGCAATAAAAACCCAAAGCTCATAGAAGGAAGGAAATTATTAAGAACAGAACAAAATCAATGCAATGGAGAGTAAGAGAATAATACAAAAAAAAAATCAATGAATCAGAGAGTTGGTTTTTCGAAACAACAGATAAAATTGATACACCCTTAGCCAATTTTGTCAAAAAAAAGGAAAAAAAAATGCTCAGATCCTTGCAATTAGGAATGAAAAAGGTGAAGTCACAACAAATCAGCAGAAATCCAGAGGATCATCAATACAGTGAAATTGAAAATGTAATTAAAAGTTTACCAATGAAGAAAAGCCCAGGTCCTGATGGATTCACTGCTGAATTTGAAGAACTACTGCCACTACTCTTTAAACTTTTCAATGAAATTGAAAGGGAAGCAATACTGCCAAATTCATTCCTGGAAGCAAGTGCTAGTTTGATTCCAAAACCAGAGAAAGACCCCACCAAAAAAGAGAACCACAGGTCAATCTCCTTAACGAACATAGATGGAAAAATTCTTAATAAGATACTGGCAAACAGAATACAGAGGGTAATCAAGAAGATAATACACCCTGACCAAGTTGGATTTATTCCAGGGATGCAAGGATGGTTCAACATACATAAATCAAGAAATGTAATACACTATATAAACAGAGTCAAATGCAAAAGCCATATGATCATATCAATATATTCAGAAAAAACATTTGACAAAATTCAACACCCATTCGTGATAAAAACCCTGTAGGAAACTGAAATAGATGGTCATTTTTTTGGGGGGGGCACTGGGGATGGAACTCGAGTCCTTGTGCTTGCAAGGCAGGTGCCAAAACCACTGAGCTAAATCCCCAGTCTTTATCTCAACTATGAAAAACAAACAGCCAACATCATATTAAATGGCCAAAAACTAAAAATCTTCATGTTAAAATGAGGAACAAGACAAGGATACCACTATCACCACTCCTGTTCTATATAGTTCTTGAAACATTAAGCATAGAAATTAGACAAGAGAAAGAAATTAAAGCATTAAAGATAGGAAAGGAAGAAGTTAAACTGTCATTATTTACCGACAATATGATAATCTACATAGAAGACCCAAAAAACTCTGCCAAAAGACATTCTAGACTTGATACGTTCAGCAGAGTACCTGGATAAAAGGTCAACACTCAAAAATCAATAGCCTTCTTGTACACGAATAACAGACTCACTGAGAAAGAAAATAGGATAACAATTCCTTTCACAATAGCATCCAAAAAAAATGAAGTATCTAAGAATCAATCTAACAAAAGAACCAAAAGACCTCTACACTGAAAACATAGCACTCTGAAAAATGAGATCGAAAAGGATATAAGAAAATGGAAAGATATCCCCTGCTCTTGGGTAGGAAGAATCAAGATAGTGAAAATGGCCATACTACCAAAACTGCTATACATATTCAATGGAATGCCAACTGAAATTCCAACACTATATTTCACAGAACTAGAAAAAAGAATCCAAAAATTCATTTGGAACCACAAGAGACCTGGAACAGCAAAAGTCATACTAGGCAACAGAGACATGACAGGGGGTATCACAATCCCCAATTTGAAACTATACTACAAAGCCACTGTGATAAAACAGCATGGTTCTGACAAAGAAAAAGACCTGAGGATCAGTGGAATAGATTGGAAGATACAGAAACAACTCCAGATGTACTCAGCTACCTCATCTTTGACAAAGGAATCAACCATCCTCACTAGAGGAAAGATAGCTTCTTTAATAAATTTCATTGGAAAAACTGGATTTCAACCTGCCAAAGATCGAAACTAGATCCTTATCTTTCACCATGTATTAAACTAAATTCCAAGTGGATTAAAGATCTAAATATTAAAACAGAAACACTAAACTTGCTGGAAGATTAGCTAGGTAAAACTCTTGAAGATTGATTAGGCATAGGAAAAGACTTAATGAACAAATCCTCAGTAGCATGGGAACTAGCACAAAGACTCAACAATTGTGATCTCATTTTATTTTATTCCCCCTCTTTGAGTTTATTGGTACACTTTAGGTATACAGTACAGTTACATTCATCATTTGGATCTTGTATCTTTACAAGACAGGTCTTGGTTCTCATTTTTTCCCCATACCCCTGCCCTCCTTTCACCCCCTCCTCCCTTCCTTATTCACAAAAACTTTATTTCCATTTTTTTCATTTTTTCATAGTTTTTCTTATCCCTTATTTCCTTTCCCCTATCCTTCCCACTTCCCCCACACCTTTAGCCCTTTTTTTTCCTGTTTCACGTTGTCAATTATACCATTAAGATCTTATTTACAATTATAGTTTTTCACACCAGAGAAACTATTTGGTATTTACACATGGATGATATTGCAATCATGAAAATACTGGCAATTCTGAATTATAGTTCAGATTTAATTTAGAAAGTAGTATCTCAGTGCCAAGCATATGGTCTATCACTGAGCTAACTGCATGTATATTTTCTTGACATCATAGGGAAAAACTGTTTAGTTCAAATTTGCCACAATGTACTAACACTGACATCTACTGACTGTTGAGGAGAACTACACATTTTTTAAAACTGCCCAGTAATTAAAGTTCATGTTTGCATCTATTTTATCAAGAAAAAGTAATATTTATTGAATGATTATGTAATGAGAACTTCAAATGGGATCCTTTGATCTCTTAACAATATATATAATAAAAGAAACATGGTACAAGAAAATGTATTAAGCCCTAAAAAATCAATAGATGATGCTATTAAACAAAAATAATCTATTTTTGAGCCTATTTGTAAACAATGAAGTTGTATTAATTTAAAAGTATTTGTTCATTTGATATTAGGCTATCTACAGTAGATAAATAAAAAGCATAACATAAGCTCTCAGTTCAAATCCTACCTCTGCTCATTAGCTAAGTAAGCATTCTACTTAGCCAATCTTGTCTTAATTTCTCTATTGATAAAACAGAAATGGTAATAACTATTTACTTCATAGGGTTGTTCTGAAGACTAAATGAGTTGATTATTTGAAAAGCACTTAGAAAAGTTCCTGACACTTAGTATTTGCTATACAAGTGTTCTGATAAATAGAATTGGTATGGTTTGATTATGTTAGGACAAAGGAGATCAAACGATCATTAAATCTTTTATTATTTAGAAATACTGAAATTTCCCCCACATCATCAGTCGTTTATCAACTTTTATCTATAAGCAAATTTTATTCAGTGCCTTGGTTCAAGGTCCATGAGTAAAAAAAAAAGAACAAAAAAATGTAAGTTCAGATCTGTAAATTGTTAGAATAAATTAGGCTTTTAGGGTTGCTGATGAGGGTTCTTCTTAGAATATCCTCTCCTTTTCCTTCATTTCTTTTATTTCTTCATTTTCTCTCATACTGACCAATTAACATAAGTTCTATTAAAAGGGCTCAGTAATTGTATACTGACTTAAACTCTTCATAGATTGGCTAAGACATATAACTATTTCTCTTTTCTTTTTCTTTTTGATTTGGTACCGGGGATAGAATTCGGGAACCTTGCGCTTGTGAGGCAGATGGCAGGACCACTGAGCTAAATCCCTGGCCCTATAACTATTTCTTTTATGGTCTACTTCTAAATACAAGTTATGTTCCCATATATGTAAAGAATGTGCATTGAGAAAGGTATTTCTACAAAACAGAAAAATAGCAAATAAACTTTTAATTTATATCATTATTTGTGATAATTAAACTAGATATTACCTAAAATTTAGCAAAATACTGTATGCTCAGGTGAAGTTATTATTAAACAAGAATTATACTTTGGGAAATAGAAAAGGTACAAAGGTAACAAAATTTGCTACTTACAGAGCAGTAACAAGTTTGTACTGTTCATTCAAGTCAAATGCCAAAAATGCCTTCTGTTCAGTGTGGGAAACCAAGATATACATACTATTTTCAACTAGTGAGTTATACCTTACTAACTTAAAACTGATAAAATCCAAATTAATAAATAAAAAGTAAATTTTAAATTTTAATAAAGTACCTTGAAATATTCTTTTCTAATCTGCTTGCTCCGCCTCCTCTCTTCGCTTTGCCAAATTATAGGTTGAGATTCTGGCCACTGCTGCTCATCTATTTGATGCTTCTGATTTTCGAAGGGCTACAATGAGACAATTTCTTTTAACTAAACAAATAAGAACAAGATAGCATAGATGGTAATAATTTCATTTCTTCTTACCTGCCATGCAAATGGTGATGATGATGAATTAACTTCATCTGCTGAGACACTAAAAAAATTGTAAAGATGCTTTAATATGTCTTAAAACACTGAGAAAATTCCTTAGATAGATATTATGAAATATCATAAAGTTGCCTATTTTGTAAGCAGGGAAGTAAAGACTTTATCGGTGCCTATACTTTGAACTAATAACATAAAACTTAATACTAACAAAAACATATTAAATTAAGTTCCCAATAACTGTTGCTCCACAGTAAACACCAAAATGAGCTTATTTTATACCAACATTATGGATAGGACTACTCTACAGATTTTGTAGAGGCTAGAAGTGTAACGTACAAAATCATACAATTAAAGAATGTATCAAAATAAATTACTGGGGCCCGGGATTTAGCTCAGTGGTTCCACTGTCTGCCTCACAAATGCAAGGTCCTGAGTTCGATCCCTGGTACCAAAAAAAAATCAACTAACAAATTTCTTTGGTCTACATGCCAAAGACCTCAGAAAAGTATTTCTCTTTTGCCTTCTGAATCACCGATTATGTGCTTCACCGTTTTCATTGTGGTACAACAGAAAATATGCAGGACATTTTTTGCATCTGTTTTTTGTTGTTTGGATAAGGACGATTATGCAAGCTCTTAGAGGGTAGATTTGAATAGATCTTTGACTGTAAATAATATATATAATAAAAAAGCGATATATATGGTCACCCATGTTTATAGTGGCACAGTTTGTGATAGCTAAAACTTGGAAACAGCCCAATTGCCCATCAACTGGAAACTGGAGAAAGATGTTTTTTGTTTTTTTTGTTTTTCTTTGTTTTTTTTTGTTTTTATAAAATAGAGTACCACTCAGTCATAAAGAACGAGAAACTAGAGACATTTATAACTAAGTAGATGCAAACTGAGGCCATACTCTTAAGTAAAATCAGTAAGACACACGTGTAAATATGGAATAGTGAAAAACTAAAAATGTAAATAAGGATCAAAATGTATAATTGATATTGTGTAATAGGAAGAAAAGTTCTAAAAGAGTAGGGGAAGTGGGAGCAGTAGGGAAAAGGTAAGAAGGAAAAAGAGAAAATAAGAGGAAAGAAAAAACATTGTAACAATATCTTTGCATCTAGGGAAGGGTGGAGGGGCTAAAGGGAAGGCTTGGGAAATGGGGGAAGAAAAAAGAATCAAGATACGTCATGTAAAAGTGCAAGATCCCAAAGATGAATATAACTGTATTGTATTCTTAAAATGTATATACTTTTTTAAAAAAGCCCAGTAGAGCTGCAATTTTATAATATTTCTGTGGAACTTCTGTACAGTAAAATAAGAAAAAGACATAAAAATTAGAATAAGTGTTTTTGGCTTACTTTAAAAATATGACAAAAGAATTTCAAAATTAATTTGGAAGAACAGATGATCAAAGAGAGAAAAGTTCTGAGCAAGTGATTTAGTTCAGTGGCAATGCACCTGCCTTGTAAGAGCAAGGTCCTGAGTTTGATCTCTGGTACAAAAAACAAAAGTTATATAATACAAGAGATATGCCTATCAGGTAAAATGTATTATACAAAGTAATAGTAATAATGGAGCTGGGGTGTGGCTCAATGGTAGAGTGTTTGCCCTGTATATACAGGACCCTGGATTTCATCCCAAACAAACATACATACATACATACGTACATACATACAAGTAAATAAGTAAATGCATTCACTTCAGAATCTAGATATTTTCTTTTTTTAAATTTTTAAATTTTTTAAATTTTAAATTGAATTTATTGGTACATTCTATGTATACAGTATATAGATATTTACAGTGGAAATGCAGTACTACAATCATAACGACTTATGATACCAGTGACATTTACAATCATTGTAGAAATGAAGGATTACATAACAAATACTACAGAGACAAATAGTTGCTTGCATGGAAAATATACACAGAAAGACAGACAAAGGAGGAGGAGGTAAAATGAGAAAAAGTGAAAGCGAGAAAAAATAGATCCCTTTCCCACATCAAATATCAAACTGGATGGAATAGAAGGTTTGTATGTAAATAAACATTCAATCAAAAAAGTAACCTGAAACTTATGGGTAGTAGCTAGACAGGGTGGTGAGCACCTGTATTTGCAGCTACTTAAGAAACTGAGGCAGGAGAATCACTTGAGCCTTGGACTTCAAGACTAGTCTAGGCAACATAGTGAGACTTCATCTCAAAAAAAAGAAAAAATACATTGGCACCAATTTTTAAATGTTGGGATGGAAAGTGCCTATGATAGAAACCATCAAAACCAAACATTAACAAATATAAGTACAGAAAATATAAAAGTCAGACAATAAGGTTGGGCATGAAACTCAGTGGTACAGTGCTTGTTTAGCATATGTGAGGGCCAAGTTTCATCCCTAGGAGTGCAACCAAAAACAAAAGCAAAAACACCCAGATTTTGCTTCTGGCCACAACAGAGTAACAGTGACCAAAAATTAAAAGAATGGACAAAATATATAAAAGTGTGCCTTCCAAAAGGCATGCGGTATCAGGCAGAAAAAGAATATTATTCTTTAGAGATGGGAAACAAGCAAGGTGAGCCCCAAGATCTGACCAAACTGCTACATGGAGAGTTGCCAGGCCACAGCCATGGGAAGGAGAATTAAGGCAGAGGCCAGATACTCCCTCAATTTAAGAGACAGAACTAGGAGCCAAGGAGAAAAGGGTTAGACAGACAGAATAACAAAGGAAAAGGTAATGCACTGAGAAAGAAGTTATACAAAGGCTTCCTTTCAAAGTTTCAGCTGAGTCTTGATCACTAATTTACCTCTCTATACAATGAAAGTTATACAGAAATAATCAGAAAACTAACATTTACTAAGCACTTAGGTGCTAGGCACTAAGGCTGATTTAAAATTTCATCCAAAGCCTCATAGCTAGTAAGCGCTGAAGAGAGTCTGACTCAGACCCAAATCTGCCTTACTTCAAGGGACATGATCTTTCAACTCTACCTGGCTATCTTGCCAACTCATTTCTCTATAGTTTATCACGACTCTTTTGTATGCTTGTAATGACTCAGGCTCATGCTGATTGCTAGAAGTGGCTAGAAATCTTGGAGAGTAGCTCACCAAATCACTACTAGTACAAAGCTGTCCACATATTTCAGGAAACCCGACCCCTCTTCTAATTTTCAAGTAACCAGAATCTTTCCAGGTCATTCCTACAAGTCTATATGTTTCCTAATGCCACCAAGAAACAATCATTTACATTAATTGTGGATTTGCACATTCCAAAGCCCCAAATTAAAAAATACAGTACCCACGTCTTGCATTTGTTTTGTTTGTTTGTTTGTTTTGGTTTGGTTTTTGGTTTTTTGAGACAGGGTCTCACTATGTAGTTGAGACTGACCTGGAACTCACTGTGTAGCCCAGGCTGGTCTCGAACTCACAGAGATCCTCTTGCCTCAGCCTCCAGAGTGCTGGGATTACAGGCGTGCACCAACACACCCAGCTTCAGTACCAAAAATATAATAAAATAAAACAAAGGAAAACTAGAAAGATGACCTGTTAGGAGGCTATTGTAATAATTCAAATTAGAGACAGCTAGAAATAGAGTGGTAGGATTGAAACTGGTAAAACAAGATCAGATTCTCGGAAATATTTTGAAAGTAGTCAACAAGATCTGCTAATGGATTAGCCATGGGATATGAGAGAAAGTAACAAATTAAGGATCACTAGGGTTTTTGAGCTCATCAACTAGAACAATGAGATTGAAACAGTCTAAAATGGGGGGCTTCAGAAGATTTAGGTTTGAGGGTATAATAAGGGATATTCAGAGTGTGGTTTTGGCTGGGTGTGGTGGCACATGCCTGTAATTCCAGCACTTGGGAAGCTGAGAAAGAATCTCCCTGAGTTCAAGGCCAGCTTGGGCTACATAGAGAGTTAAGGCCATGCCTGAACTAAATAGCAAGACAGTCTTGAAAAAATGTGATTTTGGAAAGTAAAATCTGACATGCCTGAGAGGAGAAGACCACTCCTCCCTATAGAATTAGGCCACTATGGGTTAACTGTATCATTAGACAACTATGGGGTAACTGTGTTACTAGGCAACTATGGGTTATCTAGGTAACTATGCTCTTTGTAGAATGTACCCGAGTAGCCATGACAACTTCTCAGAAAGTCCTGCCAGAACTCCTTGCTCTCCCCACTCCACTGCTCTGCTGTGTGTAGATCCTGCTTGCTATATTCCCAGGGAAACTCCAATGGAATTAAGCTTCACAGATGTAACAAGAGGTATATAGGAAGCGCAAACTTCTCTTTGGAGCTCTTGAGACTGGCAGGAGTCACTTGCTGAGCCACCAGCATTAAAAACTACTGTTTGCTCCCATCTCCATGTTAGAGTTGTCTTGGAAGCAGCCAATTGCCCATTAACTGGAGACTGGATAAAAAAATGTGGTGTTTTTTAATAAAATAGAGTACTACTCAGCCATAAAGAATGAGAAACAAGAGACATTTATAACTAAATGTATGCTCATTGAGGTGACACTGAAGTGAAATAAATAGGACACACGTGCAAATACTGAATAATTTCTCTAGTATAATAGATATAATAGGTATAATAGATAATGTGATAAAAGGGTATAATAGATAATATGACAATAGGAAGAAAATGTGCAAAGGGAAAAGGAAGTGGGACGGGTACAGGAAAAGAAAGAAGGGAATGGAATATGAGAAAATGAAAAAATGGAAACAAAGTCTTTGGAGATAGGGAGGGAGGGAGGGGTTAAAGAGAGAAGGCAGAGGAAGGGGAAAAATAAGAACCAAGATGGATTATATAAAGATGCAACTTTCCACACACCTCAGTGGAAGTGCTGAGTAAACTACAGGGTATATGCAATTCTTCAGTGTGTATGTATGCTCACACATGCTCGTAAACAAGTACAAATATTTGTGCACACATATAGAGAAAAGGTATGCTAAAGTTTGAATATGATCGAGTGTTCCCCAAAGACTCATGTGTTAAAAGCTTGATCCTCAGTGCAGCAGTGTTGAGGTTGTGAAATATTTTAAGAGGT